TTCTGCCTCTCTGAGCAGTTTTCACTTCACGTCACGGCCGCAGTTCTCGGCCTCAGAGCTCGGTGATGGATGTGATCCTCTCAGAGACGCTGGTGTCACCAACAACAACACTCGGTGATGGACACACACACACACACACTTTCTTGTCAGCAGTCCTGTGTGTGCTGTAGTCCTGTATTCATCAACGCTGACGTGAAAGGAATTCTCAAGGTGTCGGTTCATGGAAAACTGGTTCAACTTCACTTCACCTGAGCAGATGTTTACTCCAAACATCCAGACTGAAGAAACTGCAGGAGGGAAAAACCTTCAGTAATGAATTTGTGACCATCAACTTGGACCAGGACCAAAGGTCAGATGGTTCTAGATCTCAGCCTGGTGATGAGCTTCGATCATCAACCAATGAACGGACTCCACTCGGCCAAATGTGTTCTGCTGTCTGTGAATGGAACCCAGTGTTTCCATGGAAACTGTTCAACTGAGCCGTTTGTATTTGAACATGCTCAAAATATAATTACCAGTGCAGTGAAACATGGACTGTTTCCTTAAAGATACGATTCAGTTTGTGCTCTGCTCAATAGTTATGAACAAAATATAAATAAAAATAATATAATTGGATAAATGTCAGAACAAGCTAAAGTACAGGGACGTCAAGGGGGCTGAGCCCCAGGGTTTTGACCACAGTATCGTTCAACAGAGAGTTCATCTTCAAACGTTCACTGTTCTTCTGTTGTCAGTCTTTTTTACCAGTGACATGTTAGTTTCAGTCAACATCTGTTTGTCCTGCAGGGGGCCATAAACACCAGGCTGATGACTGTGACTGCGCCCCCCTCTGGCTGAGGTGAGAAGTACAGATGTCATTGCTGGAACACATCCCAATGCAGAGCTGCAAGACCCGTCATTGAACCTCTGACCTTTCAGTTAAAAACGACCTGCTCAGGCTTCCAACACCAAGACCAAGGCCCAACGCTGGCACGACAGGAAGAGAAGTAAGAAAAAAATGATTTGATTCCTTTGCTCGCTCTCTCTCTCTCTCTCTCACACAGATCTGTTTTTTCTAACAACTCAGATCTTGTTTGAACGTCTGCATCATTACATTTTCCCATCCATCCGTTCTTTTTTTTTCTCCATTTTTTTTCTTTCCATTTTTCTGGTCGATGAATCCACTGTGAGGAATGAAAATATTAACTTTAGTAATTACTGTGTGGCTAAAACTAAACATTGTTGGAGTGTGTTTGTGTTGAGGTTGGGGACGCGGGGGTCGGAGTGGGGGGGTGGTTAGGCCTGGTGCAGCAGAGCAGCTGAAACAGCCCAGACATGGAAATCAGGAGCCGATATTAAGGTGGTGATTCAGTCTGCTGGGTCCCAGGTCTGGTGAATTTGACAAAACTCAGCAAAAAGAAAATGGTCAGAACGCCAGAGAGGAAAAGTTCCAAGTTCTTCTCTGGGAGAGTTGTTCCTCCAGTTTGTTAGGGTTGTTGTTTTTTCTTTTTATGATATTTTCTTTACTATGATATTTTTGCAGTTAAATTCAGTGTGTATAACATAGCATAGCATAACGTAGATATAGACGTAGGACACTTGTTTTTTCACCCCGTATTTTTCCTCTTTATATTTTTCTCACTGAACTCAGTTTCACTGATTATTTCCAGAAATCACCGCAGCGTCAGTCGGTGTTTTCACAGTGACTCAGAACCTGCTGCGTTCAGGGACTGAACTGAACTGAAGGATGGACTTATTTATAAATCCTCCTGGTATTGGAAAAAAAAAAAAAACACTGCCCACATGTGACGAAAAGGAGGAGGAGTCATGAAGAGGAGGAAATGAAGAAGTTTGACAAACAGCTGATGAGATGGAAAATGAGAAGTTTCTTCAGATCAAAGGTTTTTCATTGGGAACTGGTCAGAACAAACACGGGGTTAATCCTCGTCAAAGCTGCCCTCATTACTGGGAAGGTACAGATTCACGCACCACAGACAGGGCGGCGGTCTTACAGGACCAGACCGGTCGATGGCAGCCACCGCAGACAAGTTCAGCTCATGATCGGCTGTAATGAAATTTCACCTCCAGGGAGGAGGAGGAGGAGGAGGAGGAGGAGGACGAAGAAGAGGAGGCTGAAGATGAGAGCGACCAAGAGAAAAAGACAAAGAAACAGGGACAGTCACTGGTACCAGTTCATACCAGTAGTGAAAGTAAAAACCTGATCAGGCAGGAAGACAACGTTGCTGAGGTTACTGACCTTTTGACCCCAGGCCGTGGTTGTGGGTGCGAAGCTGTCAGATGTTTTGTCAATGTGAATATTTTCAGGATCTGAATTCATCGGTGACCAGAGCGACTTCACGTTTCTGTTTTTTCAAACCATTGAGGTGTTTGATGTTTCACTCTCAAATACTTTGAACCAACTCTTTCCTGATGTTATTTTTAATTAGAGGCAGAAATTCAGATTTTTTTTTTTTTCCACACAAACACCCAGAGTGACTGCTGTGTTCCAGGGCCAGAGGGGAAAAAAAAAAAAACCAAAAAACCGACCAGATTTAACTTTAAATTTTAATGTGTTGTTCTCAGAACGACCCAGTTCTGGAGGATTAGGAACTCCATCCAGGTACCTGACTTGTGTCGCGGTCCTCGTCCTCCACGGAGGCCGGCCGTGGTTTCATCAGAGGACGGAGCGACTGAATGAATGATAGAATATGAATGTTGTTTTACTGGATGTTCAATGAAAGAATTTGAATTCAACTCAGGACAAAAAAATCTGACTCAGCTTCAGGGCGACAGGGATTGATTTGATTCGTTAGTCCTGCCTTCATTTCAACGACGACTGTCTCAGATTTAAAACTGTTTTTTTTGTTTTTTGTTTTGGTCCACTGAGCCCACGCTGAGTCATCGTTTTTTCCTGTTTTGTTTTGATTTTCATTTTCCAGTACTTTCTTCAATCCCTTAAGGTTGGTACTCTCTGACTTAAATCTGTAGAGCATCCAAGTGATAGACACCTGGTTGTTCTGTTTTGTATCCCAGTTATGCCCTGGAGGGGAGGGGGAGGGGGGGCTTTTAACATTTTCAGTTATTTTATTTCCCTTTACAATTACAGTAGCAGGTACTTTGGCAAAATTTACTTATAATTTACTTTCAATGAATAATTTTAGAGGCTGCTGAAAAATATATTAGCATTTCCTGTTTTTAATTAATAAATTAAATATAAATTTACATCTACCTGCAGGGGGCGCCCATTATACAAAACGATCCACCAGAATATGTGAAACGTAGAGCAAGGTGTTCAAATGTGAAACTTAGCACCATCTACAGGGCAGAAAGGGTCACTGCATGCTTAATGCTGACGGGGAAAAAATAGGAAAATCATACAAAACCTCAGAATTATGTAGGGACACAAGGGAATGTGGAATTCATCGGTTCTCCAGCTGATGGTTCCTGCTGCTCCACAACTAGAACCTGTAGAACGTCCTCTCTGGTCGTCATCATCTTTCCTGGTCGCTTGTTAAAATGACTCCAGGAAACAAATCTAATCCTTTTAATTTCAGTTTATTGATCAAATGAATCTCTTTTTTTTTCTAATCAGTTTCGTCACTTTATTTTGTTGAATGTGAAGACTTACTGCTGCTGCTGCTGCTGCTGCTGCTGCTGCTGCTGCTGCTGCTGTGGAGTCGAGGATGAGGATGAATGGATTCAGAATCCTTCATCAGGAATATTTATGGATTTGGAAAAAGTTCCAGACGTTAAATGGACCATAATTATCACAGCAGCAGGAAACACATTTTTCACATTAAATTGTTGATGAAATGAATGAATTAGTCGTTGAAGGCAGATCCAGTCCGCCGTCTCCGCTCCGGGGTTTGTGTCCCACCTGTTTACACCTGTCCTTGTGGGGACGTTCTTCAGGTCTCCAGTGTTGAGGTTCAGGGTTTGGAGTTCGGAGTAGAACTTGTAGTATATTTTCATTAACTAGTTGCTGCGGTTGTTCCTGTGCAGATTAATTTGGCCTGCGTTGATCAATGCCCTGTTGTCGACTGTTTACTGCAGTGGATCATTTTCTCATTTATTCTAATAGGGGAGCAGAAAGAAGAAAAAAAAGAAAGAAAGAACTGCTGCGGGACGAATTGTTACGCGTGTTTCTTTAATTTGTAATTTTACGCCTCAGCGATCGTCCAACTAGTCATGAGATAAACCACAAAAAAATGTCCAATTGGATTTTTTTTTTCAATTACCAAAGTGGACCAGTCGACTTGACTCTCATGAGGAAATGAACTGTCTCACATTTAAATTCCAGCCGTTTTCACCAGACACGTTCACGTGTCCTTCAAATTAAAATAATCTTAATTAATACAAGAATTACTATTCATTAATTTCACCGTATCATATGACAACCGTAATGAAAATGTCTAACTATGACATGTGAGCTGTATATAGTACATGGAGAATCATGTTTTATTTGGTCAAACCTGGCAATGCAGCTGGAAGGTTAAAGTAGAAATGATTACATTACAACACATCATTCAAATCCTTCATTTAATACTTTAAAAAATACTTTAGTTATTTTAAAAGTCTGTTAAAGGAATATCGTTGGTCCATCAAGTGATTAAGTGTAATTACATTAGTATGTAAATAAAACTGAGGATAAAAAAATAAAAATAAAAATGCAGTTGACAGCCGACCAGAAAGTGAGCGGAGCTTTACAGCTCATCATGACACCTGAATGAGCCTGAACAAAAATGTGACCGATTGAGGTGTAATCTCCTCATCTGTCCACTGGGGGGGTTTAACTGAGAAGAGACATTAGCCTGTTCAGCGCTAAGGCATTAACGTACTGTTTTCAGAGCTAAAACATTAGCATATTTAGCTTTGGTGTTTGGTTA